TTTGCTTTGGATAACCAAGGTGACATAATATCATTTCTATAACCTTAAAAGATATCAAAAAAGCATTGGAAATTCAGGATTGGATAGCTGCTATCATAGTTGCTAGCTGCTAAAAATGTGTAAAGATGGGACCACTAATAAATAATAATGATAAATAATAAAATTTATTTTTATCCCCCCCCCCTGCATAATGCAACCGGGGCAACTAATATTCTGCATTCATTGCAAGAAAGTGGCGATTCAGTAAATATTGACATGTATTGCTTTTTGCTTATACTCTGTAATAGATCTCAGAAGCAAGTTGCACATTTAGAAATGTGAATGCCTAAAAGGGGGGGGGGGGGGGGAAGACCAGGAAAAGAACTTTTCTTTCTTTTCTTTCTTTTTTTCCATTGTAAAAATTGGAAACTATGAAAAGCGTCAGAAAGAAACCTTCAGATGAAATAGTTTTCTGTTTTGGAATGAGTGAAATGCTTTTGAAGACTTACTCAGAATGCAAGGAACTGAGTAGTATGAAGTAGTGTATAGAACCATCTGCAGAGGCAGAGAACAATAATTCCTCTGTATGCTGCAGAGGCATACAATACTCAGACCCAAAATGCATTTCTGCAGCTAGTGCATGCTGCCATGTTCATGAGAAAAATATACAGGGGACCTTCTTTGCTTGGGATGACAATATACTATTGAAGAGTTAAATATTATCAGGGCTGAGTTTACTCAAATATCCAAATATGTTGCCAGCCTAGTCCTTAAGATTGTGAATGTATGAGTCTGTTTTCTGTCAAATAATAGACTTTGTTGTTTTATTATCAAATTTGTGGTTTGTTAGCATCCGCCCCCCCCCCCACTCCCCACTTCTCATATGACAAAAACTAAGATACAAATACATAAAAGACAGGATGTGGCAGTTTTCAACACTTTCTTCAGTATGGGATATAGTTTTGCTTGCATAAAGCAAAGTTTTTTTTTATAGTTTAAAATTTTATAGATATACCAAATAGAGTTTTATACGGTAATTATACATTATGACATTTTAATATAGTTGGCTGTACTGAATTAATTTGCTAATATAATTTGGCAAATTTAGTAAATTAAGTTTATGTTTGATGTGGGAATAAGTCCTGCATATATTTCAGCTTTTCCTAATATCCCCCCCCCCCAGTGGGATTTTTAAAAAAACTGTATTTTCTACAACTGTTTCAGAATTTTTGGAAACTACCCAGTTCACTTCCCTATGTTCTTTCTCTTGTTCCCTATTCTTCCAGTATTAAAGCAGGGAGTGGGAATCATTCGTTTTTTCAGATGTTGTTGGACTGCAAATCACAGCATCCCCAGCCATCTAACATAGCAAATGATGAGGAATGCTGGAAGTTACAGTCCCACAACATCGGCAGGGCCACATGATTCCCACATTTGATGTAAAGAAATTGAGAAAGCACCTAGGTTTTATCTATGGTGGTGGCACTTGGGAAGAGGAATATGTAATATGTAATAAGACAGATGGATGTGATTTGGCAGTCTCTGACTGTGAAGGGCAATTGCTCCTAAACCTAGGTGTAGTTGTCTTATTTATGGAAAGTTTAAGAAATGTTTTCCCCGCCCCTGTTTTCCTGTAATGGTTCAGCATAATTTATAAGTGTAGAGGAGCTCTTAACATAAATTGATTTTAGATCCCAGATGCCTTGAGTGATTTTGAATGGAACATTTTACAGGGAAGTTTTGAACTCTTTGCAAATTGGGTTATGTAATGAGACAGCTGGTTTTTACATACACTATAGTGGTGCTGGCTGACACTTTACTCCTTTTTAAAGGAGCAGTGTATAAGTCAATCAGAAATGTGTTGGTACATTTACATAACAGCCTGAATGGCTTTTTTCCCTTCTAAATAGGAAAAGGCCAACATAGATAAACTTAATTTTAAAAATACATGGCGAGACACAACGAAAACAAATACTTCTTGCAAATTCAACTTCTTAAATGAACATTTCAGTAACCTTCTAATGAAAATGTTCCCAGGTTTAGTTCCTGTGTTGACTTTAAAACACCTGCAATTTATGTTTCTTAAAAGAAATATTAGACAAACCTAAAGTTAGGTGGACCCAATTGAAAAGTCAATCTATTTTCAGTTGGATTGATTTGAAAATTGTATATGCAGTTCTTTAAATACATTCTTCCAGTGCCACTTTAGGATTTCTTTCCTGGTCTCTTAAATACAGTTTTAAAAATCAATCTTGTTATGTCTACAAAGCTGCAAAGTACACTGTACTGTATTAGATTACAAACAAAAGAAGAGGAGAGAAATAGCAATGTGTGTAGGTAGGAAGCATTTTATATTTTCTCAGTTGAGAAAACCTGAATAATAATAATAATAATAATAATAATAATAATAATAATAATAATAATAATAATAGTTTATTTATATTTTCCCGCCTCTCCCTATGGATCAAGGCAGGAGAACAATAAAATGTACAAAAATGTACAAGGATACAATATATATATATAAACAAGGATAAAATCAACAAACCATACTATAAAAACAGTGCGAAATCTAATCTAACTTATGAGTTAATGAGAATAAGGAATAATAAGGAAATTCTTTTTCTCTCATACAGCACAATGCTTATGGTATATTGCTAAAAATATTGTTGCAGGATAATATTTGTTTCAGGAAATCTGTTATGTTAAAACCTGCTGTTAAATAATCAAAACAAAAACTTCAAATGCATCTTACAGGCACAGATGTGCATAATTTCCTGGCTTGTACTTATTGGAATGAAGATTGCTCCTGTTGATATTTACAGGCCTGTTGTTACTGTTTTTTATCCATTCTTTCTTTCAGTTTTAATTTCATTCATGTTGTCACACATAGCAGACGTCTACCCTGTGCCTTGTGAACAAATGTTTTCCAGGCTCCTAGACCACCAGACATCCCTTAGACATGGGGGAGACATGTGTGAACTGGGCACCATCAGCACTCACAAATATATGTTAGGAACTAGCATTAAGGAATATAAATTGCTTTTTCCTGTTGTTCGCAGCACAACAGTTGAGCCTTTGGATCCCTACAGGACATTCAGTTGATCGCATTCATATAGAATCCTTGGAAACTTGAATATACCATTTTGGCTGGTTCCCTTCCTTGGCCTGCTCAGCTTCTGTGCTGCTTGTGCTGGGGAAACATGTACAACAGATTTTCTTGAAGCTCTATAGTTATCAAAAACACAGAAGAATGTTATTTAGATGATCTGATGAACTCATTCCCAGGATGCTATGTAAACAGTTGGTTAAAAACTGAACATAAGATGCTGTATTGATTTGTATTTTGTAGTAACCTGAGCTAGTAATTGAAGAGTCAAGCTGTAGAATGGATTTGGAACAGCAAGAAATAATGATGTGGAATGAGCCTCCGTTTTTGTTTTTTCCTTGGCAAAAATACCCTTTTCCGTTTTGGATCGTACTGTTTTTCATGCATAGTTCTTAAATATACATAGGCATCCAGTTTAAAATAAACCTAGTCAAGTACATCTGAGACCTCTTTTTCTGGTGGAAAGACAAGACACTGTCTCTTCAGAGTTTTTGTACTGAGAGACCAGGAAAATGCAAAGTCCACTCTTCTCTGTCCAAAGCCAGTGCTCAAAAGACTCTTGACTCAGTTTCATAAGCCGAGTAATGTCTGCAGACAGAAGCCTGGTCTGTGACTTACCTGGAGCCAGTTTGTGGTCTGGGATGGTGCAGTATGGGGAAAGTTATGCTGGCAATAGCGCTAGCACTGCTTCTTCTCCCTAGATCAGGGGTAGGCAACCTTTCCCCTTTAAGGGCCAAGGGACTTCAGCTCCCAGAAGCCTCAGCCATGTTGGCCAATAGTCCCATGTTGGCCAGTAGCTCCTGGGATTCTGGGAGCTGAAGTTCCTCGGCCCTTAAAGAGGAAAGGTTGCCTACCTGTGCCCTAGATGTCTGCACAATTTGCATGAGCATTGATAAGGAGCAGAAATGCCACCCAATGAAATTCAGATTTATTGGCTGGTGGGTAGGACTGGAGTAGCCTGGCTGCAGTTTTCACTCTGGTGAGAAGTTTGGGTACATAAGGCTGCTCCCCAATGCTCCAGGCTCCACCCTGTCTTCAATTTTTCCAGTATTTGATGATGGGTTACTGTTTTCTCTTTCTGTTGCAACTGTTGCAGGTGGTTTGGCATGGGAAGCAGGCAATTGGAGTTTGGTAGGTTCAACCAAAAATAGGGAAGGGGGTTCCCTGGTGGGTCTCTGGTCATCAAGGGCCATGCACAGCTCAGGGAGTTTTTGCCTTTGCCATATCCCCAGGTGGCAGGGAGACCATGAAATGCATCTGCCCATGTGGGATTTCATATCTATCATCCTGGATATTATCTGGCAAATAGGCTAGGTTATCTGCTCATTGACAGGCAAGTTGGTCAGTACTTGGACCCATGTGGGTGCCAAGCCTGTTTTCATCTATAGTTAGATAATAAAGCGGTGGCCTAATTTTGTCCCACTGTATGTTTATGTATGTTCATTGCACATGTATATAGAGGCCAACTTCATCTGAGCAAAATTGTTTTGTCTCCAGATGTGTTCATAACTATGTCAATCCCACCCACCCTTCACCGATACCAGTGAAGTTTGGTACTTTATGTAGTAGCTATTGTAGCATATGCTGCTGAAGGATAAAACTAATTTTAATCCTTTTGGTTTTGTATCTCTCAGATGCTGTGCTCAGTATCTTTCCACCTTGGCAGTATCATAGAGGATGATTGTTACCTTAAGCTAGTGATGGTAAAAGCATTTCTATGCCACTGAGGCTGAATAAGGACATTCATTGCACTGACAGTACTGCAGTAAGCCCTGCCCCAAGCCAAATAAAACTTCTGTGATATTTCAGAGGATTTCCTTACCTGCATTTAAGAATAAATAGCGGAAACATTAGAAATAGAACACATTACAACAAGATGCCCTGATCAGCAAGCTGCTGTCTCAAGGATATGAAAGCCTGTGTGGTGAAGTGTTTTGAGCATTGGACTAGGACTCCGGAGACCAAGGCTCGAATCCCAGCTCAGCCATGTAAACCCACTGGGTGTCCTTGGGCAAGTCAAACTCAGCCTCAGAGGAAATGGCAAACACCGTCTGATACTTCATCATCATCATCATCATCATCATCATCATCATCATAATAATAATACATGCCAAGAAGATCCCTTGATAGGTTTGCCTTAGGGTCACCATAAGTCAGAAACGACTTGAAGGAATACAACAAAAAACAATCTCAAGTATAATGCATTGAGAATAAACTGTACTCTTAAATGTGCTGTACTTTCTTAATCTGGGCATGTGTCCAAATTATTAGCAAATTCATTCTAATCATACTTACTGAATGTTTATAGGGTACAGCAGGCCTTGTGCAGGTTAACCATTTACCCAAACATGGTCTTATATGGAATCTAGTGCCATCCGTCTGCTTTGGTCAGGCCTCACCTGGAATACTGCGTCCAGTTCTGGGCGCCACAATTCAAAAAGGCTGTTGAAAAGCTGGAATGTGTCCAGAGGAGAGTGACCAAAATAGTGAAAGATCTGGAAACCATGCCCTGTGAGGAGCAGTTTGGGAGCTGGGAATGTTTAGCCTGGAGAAGAGAAGGGTAAGGGGTGATATGACGGCCCTGTTGAAATATTTGAAGGGGTATCATATTGAGGATGGAGCAAGCTTGTTTTCTGTTGCTCCAGAGACTAGGACCTGGAACAATGGATGCAAGCTATAGGAAAAGAGATTCCACCTAGACATTAGGAAGAATTTCCTGACAGTAAGAGCTGTTTGACAGTGGAACACATTCCCTCAGAGTATGGTAGAAGCTCATTCTTTGGAGTTTTTAGAATGGATGACCATCTGTTCAGGGTGCTTTGATTGTGTATTCCTACATTGTAGGAGGTTAGACTTAATGCCCCTTGAGGTCTCTTCCAACTCTATAATTCTATGGTTCTGTGACAGTGAAAAGCAGTTAAACCATAGGAAAGCAATTGGCATGTTTGGCTTTGTTGGTACAGTGGGTCCATTGCATATGCAGACTAGCGATCCATGGATTCAACCACCCATGGATTGCTATGCCCCATATTATTTAAGGACGGGGCATGCATGCGGACTCGCTGACGCAATTCAAATTAGATCATCTGGAATTTTATAAAACATAAAACCCTAGATGATCTCATTTGAATTGGTTCCAAGAAATGAATATCCATAGGGAGTATATTTTATATTTTAATGAAATGGGAGTTTTGACAAGTAATAAAATCTTGCTTGATCATGAGAGTTGGGAAAAGGTTTGATAAGGGTGCTTTTTTTGGGGGGGGGGGGATTTCTACTAGCAAAAACAAGTTTACCAGTTCTTGGGAAATTTATTTTTAAACTCATTAGACCAAATCAACAAATTGCCAAAAGATTTATTTTTCTGTGTTCTCTGTTGGGGGCAAGGTAAAGAGCTGTCCTGCCAAGCCATCCCCAACATTGGTCGAACGTTGTCCTTTATTCCTTTCTACTCTGGTTTTCAACAAACACATATTCTTAGACATGGGAATTAGAAGGGGGGGGGAAGTATCTTTATTTTAGGCAAAACAACAACAACAACCCAAAGAAAGTGAGAGCCATCTAATGCCTGGAGATGACCAACTAAAACTCAGTGAATGATGCAACTATTTTAAATCTTATCTATATAGAGTTCAAAAATAATGCTTCTTCACTGTTTTGTTTTTGTTTTTTTGTTTGTTTGTTTTTTGAAGGGAGGAGAGATGGACAGATTTATTTTTCTTTTAAAAGTTGTGAAAGACATCCCACAATTTTTGAAAAAAAAAGTATTGTGTTGTATTTTTCTAGGAACTAGCAAGTTGTGGATGGAATAAGAAAGAAAAACACATCCTTGCCCCTAATGTTGTTGCCTTTACAAGGAGGTTTAATCAGGTAATGTTTCTAATTAGAGTTAATGACCTGATATTGTCTATGAAAAGTCAATGGGGATTGAATTTGTACTGTGCAGCAGGATATAGTTGCTATATCTTAACCTTTTTAACAGCTATGTTTGTCTGAATAGCAAATTATAACGGAATTATGGCTCTGTCTTGTTTCCTACAGCAGGAATGCACAGATTTCAGGCATGATGTAGCTAATGTGTTTTTCCATAGAACCCTGAAACCACCAATTGGACCTAGATTCATAAAGCATATGCTTAGAATTAAAGAATTCTGAGCCAGAAAATTAGTTTTTAGGCTCCTAGACCATGCCTTTAAATTCTACTCCTCACTCCCCAGTCCTCATTTCAGCAATCTAATTTAGGGAATAGTTTTGTTGTTGTCATTATTAAGCAGCTGGGAGTCAGAAATCCTTGACAGTCTACTGCAAACCATTGGTATTGACAGTACTGGTAAATCTCTGGATATTTGCAGTAGATTGCCAAAGACACGCAACTGTTTAAGAATGGTGCACAATGGGCAATTTTGTAGCAGTCATACTGAAAGTCATTTTGAAGAAGCTGTGTTTGCTTAATTGGTTTCTTAGCATCATAGTTTGTGATTATCGTCTATAATCCTATATATATGCCATTTACAGGTCAGTTTCTGGGTTGTACGAGAAATTTTAACAGCACAGACCTTAAAAATAAGGGCAGAAATATTGAGCCATTTTGTGAAAATAGCAAAGGTAAGCTTGTTATTTTTAAATAATATTTCATAGAGTATTTCCCCGCCCCAATTTTGCTTTCATCCTTTACTTCTTTTGTACAGTTGAAATAGAAAATGTTCTTTGAAGGAACCTGGGGTAACTGAACCAACCGAAAAATTGTTAGGGATTAAACATGTCCAGATGTTTCATATGAACAGTCTGTGCCTACAGTGTCAGCTAATTTTAATGTGATTTAAATCAGCTTAACTGTTCTGATTCACAGAAGTTTGGGCTATTAATGAGCTTTTATTACCGTTAAAAGTGGGGCAGCTGTATCATTAAGTAAAACATGAGCATTTTTCTAACCTAGGATCCTGTGATAATGATATACCGTATCATTTAATAAATGCAATAGGGCTCCCAGGGTATAGAAAATATAAAACTGCTTATCTGCCTCTTCTCATTTCCCACTCCTTCCTGTTCCTTTAATTCTTATAAGAAGTGAAGGATGAATTTATAAGCATATGAGAATTTCAAGAAAAATACAATATCACTAAACACAAATCTCTCAAACAAACCATATATCCCAGAAATCCGACATACTAAGATGTTGTCATTGCAGGTCATTTCTGACTTATGACCACGCTAAGGCAACCGTATCGCAGAGTTTCCTTTGGAAAATTTATTCAGAATAGGTTTCCCTTGCCCTCCTCTGTGATTTGCCCAAGTTCACCAAGTAGGTTTCCATTCAAATACTGGTCTTTCATGTCATAATCCAACATTCAAACTACCTACACCACACTGGCTCCCGTACTAACATATACTTTAGACTCTAACAATTATTGAGTTTACTATAATTTTTTTAAATCTGGGCATTCATTCCAAAATCATATCTGATCCCCACGCATCTGAGGAAGTAGGCTCAAGTCTATGAAAGGTCATGCTACCAGCTTCTTTCTTGCAGTTAAGTCTCAAAGGTGATACAAGATCCCTAACATGTATGATACAAAGCCACTTAGTGATTCTGCCCACACATTAGCTGTACGTTTTTGAAGAGTAATTTATATTTACAGCAAGACATTTTATTAAATTAAAGAGGCACTTTTGGGAACTGGCAAGAAATTGAGCTAATAATATAAGTAAACAGAAGTTTGGATGAACATCTGCTGTGTATAATGAAAAGCAGTGTACTACTGCAAGCTGAACTATTGGTCTGTCTATGTTCTGTCTGAAAATCTATGCTTCTACCACAGTGCCCTCTTTTTCTCTGCCTCTCCCCACTTTTCTGTTTATTCTGACTTCATTATTGGCTTTGTCATCCTCCACTTCATTCCATCTCTGTTTTAGTCCTGTATTTGAAGATATATCTCAGACCAGTACATCCCATCTTGTTCAGGCATGGCACCATTTCTTATCTCATTCCAGTATCTGGAGGTCATATGTAATAGTAGTGGACATTTGTATGAGAGTGCAAAAAAGTCAACATGACAGTAAAATGGCTTCAGGAGGGTCAATAAATAAAGAAATAAAGAAGATCCAAGGACATCATGGGGCGGAGAACAATAAACCAGCCCTTTTGAACAGGCATCTTTGGCTGGAATAGTGTGGTTGTACTACTGTAGTGTTGTGATGTGTTACACTAATATAGTACACCTTGCGCTGCATAACAATGAAGGAAGGAAGGCAGCTTCATCATGATTGTCAGGACAAGGCTTAGAGCTAAATGTCCTCTGGGAAGATTGGCTTGCAAAATTGCATGTGGCAGAGGAAAGGTGATTTTGGAAACCATATTTTCCCTGAGCTCCTTTAACTCAAAGGACATTATATCCGCCTGGAAGGCTAGTGCAGCAAACAAATTTATAAAATTAAAGCACAACATCTCAACAGACATCAAATTGAACTATAGAGTCTGTGAAATGTAATTACTTTTCCCTACCATGGAGAAGATCTAAAAATGTATGAACTTAGCAGCAGTAGACAAGAGGTTTCCATATTAAGAAATATGTATCATAAAACCAATCAACGAGTCACTTCTGTGTGTTCATTGAGGTCAAGAGCCACTATCCGTGCCTCATCATAATGAACGTTTGCTTTTCCATCCGACTCACCTCCAGAATCAAAGTCTCTTTTATGCCAGTAGATCAAAGATTTTCAGGAAGGAGACTAGACTGTTCATAAGGCAACAAGGAAAGAATGAGAAGAGACATTTGAATTTTGCAATTGGGATTCTTATTGCTACATTGTGTAGTTTCACATCGCATTCTAACCCTTTGAGCATATTATAATTAATAAAAAACAAGCCCCTGGAACATCTAATAATTTTTCAATGACTCAGAATATTCCAAACTCCAATGGAAAACTGATGCTCTTTTTAAAAAATCTTTCTTCTCTTTTCCCACCTCCAGAAACTTCTGGAACTGA